CCTTAAAGATGTTTCACTTCTCCTCCAAGAACAGTTCAGAATTGAAGAAGCTTCTTGCAGGAGAAGCGAAACATCTTCCAGGAACAACAAAGAAAGCCCACTTGCCTTTTGAAGAAGTACATTTGGGACAACCATGATCTGGGTGGCTGAGAATCTCCATAGACAAAAAGCAAATTATGTCTGCAGTGCTGCTAAGAAAAGCTACGGAAATCTCAACTCAGGGGAAACTTTTAGCTTCATTTGAAAACCAGGGCTGACAAATGGATCTCTGTTCTACCGTTGATTTGATTTGGGAAAAGCCAGTTTTAACTCTTGATGAAACGCCCCATCAGGAGACCAAACATCTCTTCCAAATGCTAATTCATCTTAATCACTACCAACTGGGAAAGCATTGAACAGTACAAAAATAGACGGGAATTGAAAAAACATAGTAGGCTTCATTCAACTCAAATGAAAGGAATTCTAATTTGAGAAATAAATGCATTTTCATATGTGCAAATCATGCATAAAACAAGTGGTTCAAATGTGCAAATCATGAATTGCAAAGACCATTAAAAAGATAAAGAAATATTGACCAAGAGACGGCTGGTGAGATACCCCCTGGCTATCTGCACTAACGTGCCAATTTTCCAGTCTACTAAACTAGTTCTTACTATTACTATTAAAGACACCCCTGTTCTAAATTGGTAGTAGCATCCATATTTCTACAGAAGAACCTGTTGACCACAAGTCCTGGAGTTTATTCAGCTCCAAGAGACTTTGTGGTACTTTTATTCTGATACATGAAGTTCTTTTTGTAAGCTATCTTAAATTGTGTTCCCGCCTTTTCCTTTTTTCCTTTTTGTCCTAAAGCTAGAGACTTTATAGTCTCTATAGAGCTATTTTTATAAATATGTCCTCATATTTTCTCCACAAAAAGAACACTGTGAGGTGGGTTGGGCTGAGAGCGACTGGCCCAAAGGCACCCATCTGGTTTTCATAGATAAGGCAAGACTAGAACTCACAGTCTCCTGAAAAATGGTCCAAAATCACCCAGTCAGCTTACATGCATAAAGTGGGACTAGAACTTTCAGTCTCCTGGTGATTCACTCAAAATCACCTGGCCAGCATTCATGCCTACGTCGAGTCTAAAATTTGTGTATTTAGATGCTCATATGTGAAAATGAAGGTAAGTCTCAGGTATATTCTGAACAGCAGTTCCAGTCTTGACCTCTTTTTCAAAAGGAAAAAAACATCATTTGGTTGCTTATATCTATGTAGATAAATTAACTTAACTGCCGAATGTAAAGTACAAGTATTCATTGACATACAACAGTTCATTTAGTGACTATTCAAAGTTACTATGGCACTGAAAAAACTGACTTATGACTCTTTTTCATACTTAACAATCTTTGTAGCATCCCTAGGACCATGTGATTTAAATTCAGGTGCTTGGTAATTGGTTCATGTTTATGACAGTTGTGGTGTCCCACAGTCTTGTGATCACCTTTGGTGACCTTCTGACAAGCAAAGTCAATGGGGGAAACCAGATTCACTTAACAACCGTGTTACTAAATTATTAAAATACAGCGGTTCACTTACAGCTGTGGCATGAAAAGTCGTAAAATGGGGCAAAGCTCATTTAACAAATGTCTTACTTAACAAGAGAAATTTGGGGCTCAGTTGGTCATAAGTTGAGGACTACCTGTATAAATAGTGTGGGAAATAAGGGAGGTCAGGAGATCATCCTTGAATAAACGTCATAGATGAGGATGCTTGAAGCATTTTCTTATTTCCCTTATTTCTTGGTTAAGCACAGCCTTCTGGGTTGAGGTGGAGATATTCTGCTCCCGTGTCTCTGATTGGAGGCCAATACACACAACATGGAAGAATTGCTTAGCTAAGAACTGCTTAGCAGGTGGCTCATTGCACATCGGCTGCTTGGCAAGGGGCTGTGGACTTGATAAGGATCAGAGGTTGGAAATCTAGGGCTGGCACAAGAACAGAAGTCAAAGGTGCCAATTGTGAGACTCCCAATGATTCTAAAGCAAATTAATCCCCTCTTAGGAACGTTCGGTGAGTTTTTTTAAAAAAGCTTTTATTGTTATGACAGACAAGAAAAGAAATAGAAAAAAGAAGTAAAAGAGAGCAACACACACACACACACACACACACAGGTGTGTGTGTGTGAGTGAGTGAGTGAAGAATTGCCCAGATATAAAAACTAGATGTGAATTTACCAGATACTGAAAGAAAGAAAAATCACCATTATTCTTTCAAGGAAAATTGAACCAAATGAAATATTAGTTTAGTGTTCCAAGGGCTAAGATGAAAATCAGAAAAAAACAGTCATGATCCTCAGAATTAACAGACAAATGAATAAGAATATGATATACTTGTCTTGAGCAAGAAATTCGAACTAATCTGAGGCTGTACCTCTATGGCCAAACACAATGTAATATTTTAAAAACTTATGTCAAAAGAAATTGTGACAGAAATCTTTGAAATTATAGTCCATATATGGTTTCCAGATTGCATTAAAGTTAGCATCAAACCTATTTTTAGATAAGAATTTACTTTTGACATGGATTCATGCTCCCAAAAATTAATGTGCCATCTTTTAATTATTCCTCATTAAAAAGTGGCACATTAATTTTTGGGAATATGAATCAGTACTGATCAGCATGAGGTGTAGAATATCCTAAATCTATTATGTATAGAAACAAGTCAGAATATTTAGTAGGAATGAAACAAGGCTTGGTGATATTGTATTTAAATACTATAATATAGCATTTATTTAACCAAAAAATAGGCACCTATCAAGAATGAGAAGTAAATATTTAAATTTTGTTTGTTGCTCTGATGAATCATATTTCATACATACTTTGGCACTCAACACTGCAATTATATTCCAACAAAAAATCTTTTATCCATTTTTAATGTAATATTTATATTGAGTTTTATTTGTCTTCAGTGATATTCCTGTTGTTGTATATCAGTTGCATTGTTGATTTTTTTCTGCATCCATTCAAACTTGCAGTCTTTCAGTTATTCAGCTTCTGAATCAAATTTAATCACCAATGTATATAGAAGCCCTAACATACGTTCTACGTTTTGTGTCATACACATTTCAAATTCAAATTCATAGCCAAACCCCTAAGTATACCACTTATTTCAAGTTACTGAAACCAATTAGTTGTTTCTAACCATTTCAAGAAAAGAATCTAAAATATTTCACCTTTGTTTTATTAAAGGATAAATTTACACGAACCATTATTTCTCCGCTGATTAAATTGTGTATATGTTAGTGGTGGGATTCAGTTTTTTAATACTGGTTCTGTGGGCGTGGCTTGGTGGCTGTGGCTTGGTGGGCATGGCAGAGGAAGGATACTGTAAAATCTTCATTCCCACCCCACCCCACTAACCTGCTTTCCTGCTCCTTTCTTCTGTGCAGGACAACATAAGAAGACCCAGCTGATCAGCTGGGACTTGGGAGGCAGATGGGGGCAGGGCCAATCAGAGTTGGTATTTTCCGGTTCTCCAAACTACTCAAAATTTCTGCTACTGGTTCTCCAGAACTGGTCAGAACCTGCTGAATATCACCTCATATATGTTCACTTTCATGAAATGAAATATTTATATTGAAGCAAGAGGCAAGACACTAATTCTTTTTTTATATTTAGTCCATTGTTTATATACGTGATTTGTTTTTGAATGTATTTTTATGCCCCTAAAGTCTTCTATAAGAATCACAATAGAAATATTTATAAAATTCTTCTGGGAATCCTGCTCCTTCCATAGAAGTAAACCAATCAGAGGTGGTATTCAGCAGGTTCTGACCAGTTCTGGAGAACCGGTAGTGGACATTTTGAGTAGTTCTGACAATACCAAATACCACCCCTGACTGGAGATTTTACAGTATCCTTCCCCTGCCAGGCCCACCAAGCCACCCACAGAATTGTTTGTCCCCTGTCGATTAGATCCCATGTAAACAAGACCAACTGAGTCTGCTTCAACTGGTATCCTGTTACTACTACATACCTTATGCTGTTCTATAAGTTCCATTGTCAATTCTAATAAATTCTTCAGCTGAGTGCCCATGGGTTCATAATCAGCATATTAATTTTGATTTAGCCTCTTCACTTGATGAAATTTTACTCTCTTGCCACATCTTTGTTAGTGGTCTCACTTCTAATCAAAACAGAGAAGGAAAGAATTATCTTATCTTATCCCTTCCAAAATGGCACTTCTGGGGGCAAAACCCCATTTTCTTCTTTTTTGTTTATAAATACTCTTTTTCTCTGGGGAAAAATTTCAGCTTCAGTAAACTGCTTCAAGGTCATGAATATGAATATCAAAAGCTTTTTCCAGATCAAGAAAAATTATAACCCCTTTCTTATTTATTTTTCTGATTAATGTTGTCTGAGACATTCAAAATAGATTTGTTATTGTCTCTCCTGTGTTAGACAAATCCAGTTGGATCAGGGTGAAGAGATTAGTTAACCTCTTTGCAAGAATAGCCTTAAAAAGCTCCTAGCCTACATTCAAAATGCCTAGGAGATTCTTGATGAGTTGGGCCACTCCTCTCCTTATAAATCAAAGAAATGAATGTTTCTTGTCATGAAGAAAGAAATACTTGATTTCATTGTATAGTATCTCATTCATTACCTGACTTAATGGTTTTGTCAGCATTCCTTTGAAATTCTGCCTCTGGAGATTTATTCAGTCTAAACTTCTGCCTTCCTTTCTTTATTTCATCTTCTGTAAAGGTCTTGTTATTCATTTGTTATCTAGAAGACTTATTTGATTACCCATCTTTAGAAACACAACTCCAGGCACTTCACAACACTGATAAAAACAATAAAGTGAAAAATGTGGTGCCTCAACCATCCTTCTCCCAATATTCAACACCACCATCCCTGGGCTCCAACCTCACCTCTTCCTTTTTAAAAATCTAATTGTAGAAGCAGGATCATAAGAGCAAGTCTATATAGAGAAGATCAGAACTTACAGTATTATTTATATTTAGCTAGCAGGAGAGATACTTTGATCATGAAAGACATTTTTACCAGATGAAAATTTTCACAATGTAAGGCTCATCCACTGCACTCCGGGTGTACTTATCCCTCTGGGTTCCCCAGATGTAGGAAGCTCAACTGCATAATTTATGGTAGTATAGCTTTGCTTTTAATTATGGTTTATTAAATGTTTGATTGCGAGCCGACCAGAGTCATTTAAGGGTGATGGGTGTTGTAGACATTTGATAAATAAATATACTTCAGCAGAATGAACAGAAGTGGATGGTCAATGACATTTTGAAGGAAGACCCTTCCTCACTTAGGGAACTTCCATCTATCAGAATGTGTACCATATCTTATCTGACCTGGTAGAATACACTCATTCTGGTACCACATTTGGGTGAGAAAGAAGTACCCTGAGAATGAGTCCGAAAGCTCAGCACGAGTCCGAAAGCTCAGAAGACTAAATATCTGGTCTCAATGACCGACCCAGATTGGATCCTGCAACATTATCCTGGGGCATGTACGTTTGCCTTCATTCATGAAAACCCTTTGCCCCATTAATGGTAATCACGGAAGAATTGACATAGCTTGATTTGAGGAAGTGGGCACTGCTGTATATTCAGAATTTTCTCTGTGAGTTCTCAAAAATAGCTGCTTGTGGTTTTCTTTCTGGTCTTTGTTGGAGATTGATGAACCACAACAGTTATGATATTTGTCACATAGTATGGAGTGGAGTCAAGAATGAAGGGGAAGCCACTCCGCTTGCTGGCATCATATTCGGTATCACTGTTGTGTAGATAAATCATGAAAATTGTACCATCATCCCTAATGGGTGATAATGCCAGCGTTGACGCAGTGGGATCAAAGAAGGTTTCAAAATCAGCTGCTATTCAGTCTTGTCTCTTAAAACAAGCAAAAAAACAAAACTGTTGGCAGGGTAAATAACACCTGGCTTCAAATAAGAGGTTACAAAAGAGTAAATACATGTGTAAGACTCTTAATCAGGTGTATGTTAGGGCAAATTAAAATAAAAGGGCAGGGGAGGATGCCAGGAAAAAAAAAAAACAAGAACAGGGTCATGATGCACATAATAATTTTAGAAATGTAAAAAAAAAGTCATTTCACAATTCATACCAAATGCAGGTTGTATAAATAGCATGAAAATGCTGGCCAGAAAACGAAAGCTCCGTAGGCTCTGTCTTTTCTCAACCACTTCACCTTCTGTAAACTCTATTGTCTTGTGGCTTCTTTTTCTTTTTTCTTTTGATCAGCCCAAAGGCCATCTCTCAAAAGCGGCAATTTGTTTCTGAAAAGAGATCTCGGGATTCAAGCCTCACCTGTTAATCTGGTAATCAAGCACTGAAGTTTTGCTGCCTCCTGATTAGAAAATTGTGCATCAGCCATTGTTCCTTGGCTACCTGAACATACTAACCTGCTTCCAGTTACTGTTGAACATTTTCCTGACTCTGTCCTATTTTCCAAGATTTGAGGTCCAATCTGCACATTGCATTTTCTGAGATGAGATTTTGGAAAAGCCTTTTTTTTTTATTTAAGTTGCTTTTAGAAAGAAACGTACAAACGTTCTTACCACACTTGAGTTTCCCTGTAAATGTAACACTTTTCAGACAACCGTAAGCTTAAAGCTACACAATACATAATGGAGGCTCTAAATATGGTAAGTGAATTCCTTTGGGTCAGGCTCAACTTCTGGTGACTGCAGGACTACAATCTTACAGGATTTTTGATAGGTCGTTGTGTTCTGAGGTGTTTGCTTCAATTTCTAGCCTATTCTACAAATCTAATATTTTTTGAGAAATCTCAGCCAAGTACTGGCATGGCTTGACTCAGTGTAGCTTCTGGGCCTATCTTAAGGACGGGAAGAGGCTACTATCAAATATGATGTTTTCTTTTAAATCTGATATTGACCAGTACAATACTGTAAGCATTTTTCTGTAGTCTTCAAAATTTTGAAAATAATGTTTGATTGGCAATTATTTCCCTGGGGATCCTGGTTGTATATTCCTGAAAGAATGATAATTCAATCCCCAGAACCTGATCCACTAGTATATGTAGGGTATACTAATATATCTGTCAACCTGGAAAATAATTTCAGCTGAAGCTTTTCGCTCTCTCATGCTTACTCCTCTTTCGTTTCTTCGTTGCCATGGGGGGGGGGGGGAGGAATGGGGAAACTTAGGGATGTGGTGCCTCAGCTGCAGTCAAAACATTTAACAGCCAGTGTGTGAACCAAGGCCATGCTATCAGACACCTGTCGGAGTTGAGTGGGAAGTTGTAGCTGGCATGGTTGGCCCATGTAATCTAATAAACACATAGGGGTGGGAAAATCCTATTCTTTTGACTATCTCTGAGCACGGGGACTATTTAGAGCTAGCTTCACCTTTCCAGGTGCTGAGATGATGTATTCAGTAAAGGGTTTTTTGAACCAGTGCACTGTGTCAGAGTCCTGACTTCCCTGGATTCATTACTCAGAACGATGACAATATCTGAGTATATCCTACAAAAGAGAAGCTATTTCAGATTCTGAATCATCTCCAGTTTTGGAGAGATGGATGCTCTACCAGATTCTGACCTTGAAAAGAATATTTTTCCTAAGCTTAAATAATGTATTCAGAGGCAATTTAAAACTTCCAACAGTGATTTGCTTTCTACTTCTGTGGATTAATTACAGATTAAAATATGGATTTAAAGATCAACTAGGGGTTTACCTGCATAGGGAAGTGAGCTTACTCTATTAATTTGGCAGGGGATTTGCTATAGGCGCTCAACTCTCTACTTAAAGCAAAAATGTAAAACAATGTGTGTTTCCAAATGTAGAGAGGAGGGAAAGAGAAAGGTCACAGCCAGATGGTCAGATTGAAATGCTTTCATCCACCCTGGGAGCCAGCTAAAAAGTACACTAGCATCCTAGTGCTGTTGTCATTGCAAGCTCTATTTTGCCAAGAAATTGTGCTACTGTGGTGCTTTAAGGAAAGACAAGTTAATGAAAGCAATTGACAGATTCCTTTGGCTTTCTTTCCCTCTTATCACTCCTGACAGGAATACCAACCATCAATTGGCCTTCATAATGTGTGGCTTGGTTAGATGAGATGGCTTGTCCACTTATTAGAGGTTCAAATGTCCAGAAATATCCACAGAATCCAGCAGCTTGATAAAAAAACAGCATTGTGCTGTGCTGATACAAATTCCACTCCTTTGGTAAATCCATGCAACATCACGACACATTATTATGGAAACAGACATCCTTGGCATTCTGTGTCTGAAGACAAAATGAATGGGCAGGGCAGTGTGTTGAGGTATTCCCTGTTAGGAGAATGAGTGTATTTAGGCAAACGTAGTGAGAGTGGTATTGAATAAAACACGACCAGCATACAGATACACTGAATAGTAAAATGTAGGTTTTACTTCCAGTAAACGGGTAAACAAAGTCCAACAAACAGTCCAAATCATACACGGTTAAAGCAGTTAGTATCAGTCCAGGGATAATCCAAAAACAAAGTCCAGTATCATAAGTTCAGTAAACGAAGTTTGCTAACAGTTGCAAGACTCACAGCAATCCAAGCAGAACGAGGATCAGGCAAAACGTCAAAACAGGAGATGCAAGAAGAGTGAAACCAGGTTTCAGCAAACCTCAGACCATCACAATTACAGCATTCTCTTAAAGATACAACAGTCTTAAATGACTATCCTGGTTTATATATTTCCAACCGAACTGTTAGGTGACTATCATTCCTAACACAGTGATTGATAGCCAGAGGGTCATGCCTTGTGGCAGCCTAAAATGGGCAGTAGGGGCTGCTGTGAAAATTCCAACCGTTGACCACCTCAACCATGAAGTGTGCTAGATTGGCCCAAAAAAACTGTTGAGAGAAGAGGGAAAATTCTATTTTCAAATTGGGACAGCTAAAGTCAACCTGTAGGTTGGGGCTGAGTTGAAAGGAACTTCAGGAGGGCATGACATAAGAATGACCACTATAGCATATGTCAAATTTATGTTCATGCTACGCTTAGGAGAGGAAGAGTTGAGTGTAATGTCTTCAATGTCATGACACTATTTGAGAAAGAAAGAAATATTTAAAAGACACTCCATCAATTAAATGTTTAATCTGTTACACATCCACTTACCATATTCACACAAGGTGAGTATGTATATGGGTACATGCTTGTGATGGAATGTAGTCTGGATTCCCAGGAGGTAGAGGCTGGCAGAGGAGAAAGTAAAATTTAGATGATTAATTGAGAGGAAGAGGATCCAGATAGATTCTCTCTAGACATACTTAGAGTGCAAGTAGTCCTCAACTTACAACCATTTGTTTAGTGAACATTCGAAGTTACAATGGCACTAAAAAAAGTGACTCACGATTTTCACACTTACAACTGTTGCAATATCCCTGTGCTCACATGATCCAAATTCAGACACTTGGCAATTGGTTTATATTTATGACAGTTGCATTGTCCCAGGCTTATATGATCACCTTTTGTGACCTTCTAACAAGCAAAGTCAATGGGGAAGACAGATTCACATAACAATTGTGTTACTAACTGAACAACAATGATTCACCTAATGTGACAAAAAAGACCCTTAAAGTGAGGCAAAACTCATTTAACAACTGTCTTGCTAAACAACAAAAATTTTGGGCTCAGTTGTGGTCGTAAGTCAAAGACTATCTTTAATGTTGCAAATAATTTGCTTTAGTTTGGCTAAAGGCGAGGAACAATAAAGGAAACTGCTTAAATGCAACCTTTATGTATTTGTTTTGGAGCCTGATATTGTCTGTCTGTGTATGTGTGTGTGTGTGTGTGTAAGTGTGCATCACTCACACACACTCTCTCTCACACACAAAGAAATTCCTGAGTAAGACTACAGCTTTAAAGAGCCACAACTGAAAATGTAAATCAACTCCACTGGGAAAAAAACCCACAGGGACAGATGATTTAAAAGTCTTTCTTGCAAAATCAACAAGACTGCAGTGTCTATCCAAAAGATAAATTACAATGGGAAATATTTTTACTGACCCAAGTAGGTTCCCCTGATTAATCAGTGAGCAATTTATATATTTATATGCAGTCACATCTAAGCTTGTGGGTACATAATCTATAATGAAAGTTGGCTGAATGTAGTCTCTGACTTAAGACCACAACTGAGCCCA